CGGCGCCGTCCTACATGCAGGAGCCTGACCAAACGCAGGGTTTTTTTTCCTCCTCTGGAGGAAAAGCAACCGTGTGCTGAACCGTCCCTTAAAAACGTCACTTGGCTGAACCACGATTTCAGTTTTCTGGAGTCCTAGACAACTATGCGTTCTTGTAATTTAGCTGAAGTATTTTTTAACAGCCGGGTATGTTGTTTCAAGCATTGCTTTGGAGCCGATTTAAAACACACATCAAACGCCCACCCTTACAACCAGAATCTACCGAGAGGGATGACTTCTGGGTCTGGACCCGGCACCATGAGGTGAGGCCTCACCAAATGGCAGAAAGGCTTTTGCTGTGATAAACGGCGTAGCCCTGAGCCTCTTCTGGCTGCCCAGAAGTCTTGTCTGAAGCCTTTCAGGGCTTCGAGCTAAGTTCGTATACCCGTCACCCATTTCAGAACACTTATTCAGGTTGTAGCAACTTCCATTACGGGGATTATATAGCAGTTTATTCTCTCATTTTTACGACGATAGCAAGACCTGTCTTTAAGATGACCTCTGGCTAAAAGAAACGGTGAGGACAGGTTTGCCAGCAGCATCCCTGCAGTAAACATGGCTTTTTCCAGCTCTGTGGAGTTCAGAACCGGCTATGCTGGCATCAGAGTCCAGGTGGCTAAGTTTGGTAGTTGGCATCAGCAGTGAAAGCACTGGGTAAATAACTGTGCTGTGGACTTTTGACTATCAGGAGCCGGAGAAATATCCCTGCTCATTGCATATGAGCCCCTAAAGAACAATCGGTTCTCTAGTCAGCACTGTGCTAGGCTATATTCAAACAAAATTGGAGGTGGAAAACCCTGCATCCTACATAAAAAATGCAGGATAGGCTGCTGAATATCAGTTTTGGTATTGCTGGAGGTACTAAAAGTGTTCAGAAAACCCTAAGATGGCACAGCTATTAAAATCTTTAATTTCAGCAACATTTCTGTATCTCACTTCATTGCTGCCTGATTCTATACTGCTTATCTTTAAAATCCATGCCATTCAGCACTATGCATTAATTTCATGCATGTATACATAATCTATACATACCTATATTTCTGTATTTCATTTTAATCTCATGCATGTTATTTGTGTCTGCTTTAAAGTAAAGCTCTGGTTTTGTTCTTTATAAAATAAAGTGTGCTATTACTCATGTGTTTCCTAGCTTGAGTGTAGTACAAGATGCCAGCTCTTTCATCTGTTCAAAAAGGTATGTGTTTGTGTGGAATATAGCCGTAATTCCTAGTTTTACAGATTTTGATGTGTAACTCTAGAAGTGCTTTATGAAATAAGGGAAGCATAATTTATCCTTTCTATGAAACCGGGATGCAGGGAAGTGAAATGACATGGCCGCACCTCGAATCCTGTGTTCAGTTTTGGGACCCTCACTACAAGAAGGATGTTGAGGTGCTGGAGCGTGTCCAGAGAAGGGCAACGAGGCTGGTGAAGGGTCTGGAGAACAAGTCTTATGAGGAACGGCTGAGGGAACTGGGGTTGTTTAGCCTGGAGAA